GGAAAATCTTTCGGTAGACAAAAATACATTTGGAATTCAAATATTATTCCATTAAGTAAGAGTAAGTTGATAAATTGATGAATTCTTATTGGATATACATTAAGTAAGAGTAAGTTGATAAATTGATGAATTCTTATTGGATATACATAGTATGAAGATAATGATACAGTTTAAATTGAAATGTGGATATACATAGTATGAAGATAATGATACAGTTTAAATTGAAATGTAAATCTAAATAAAATTATTAAATTTCAAATTTATAAATGTCTATAAAATGAAGAGCGTATATGCAAAAACTAAATAAATTAATGAGACAAATAATGTCTACCCTAAAGGTCAAACCCTAGAACAACGTAGACCTACAAATGTACATAATGTGGATAAAATATTTACAAAATCCACCAAACAAATTAAAGAGATAAAAGTTATTCTACAATTTATAAAAAAATTAAGAAAAACAAAAATCATACTCCATTTAAAAGCACGAGTTCGGGAAAAGCTTTCTATAGTCAAAATTACTCTGTACTATTTTAAATATTTAATTTAAATTATAATCTATCCTAATCATACTTATATCCTATTCTAATACCCCTTAAAATATCTATAGCTCAATAATTTAAATAAGATTAATAAAATGTATGAAACATCTTAGTAGTATCAGTTAATTACATAAAGTATTACAAAAGAAAGCAAAAAAGTTTTAAAAATTAGACAAAATACTCTCAAAGTTTAAAATTACACAAAATAAAAACCTTAAAATTTAGAACTTGGCAAAGAAAAGAGTAATTGTGTGATATTCTTTTATTAAAATATATAAATATAATTTATAATTTAATATTTACTATCTTTTTTTAGAATCTAAAAATAGTTAAGTTGATACTGGTACAAAAAATAGTAATAATAATAAATTAAAAATATCCAATTAAAGAATAAAAGTTTAAAAAATATATGATAGATTAAAATTAATATTATTGTATAAATTAAAATAACTGCATATAATTTTATCAATATGTTAGAACAACAAAAATATATAAGTATCATTAATTAATAGAAGACTAAATCACAAAAAAAGTAATAAAAAACTATAATATAATAGCTTAACATCTATTGATTATAATTTATAAATATTGATTTCTAATGGTAATAATATTTATAGGGTAAAAAATTATAAAGATTTATGTATGGAGAACTATTAGAAAATTTAGATATATCATTCAAAAGAATCAAGCGGTTTTTATTTCAAATATAATTCAGAACTTCCGTGAATCACTTCAATTAACAATAAAATAAGTTATATTTATCAAAGAAACACCGACTGAATACCCCCTAAAGAATATATTGAACAACTTTGTTCCACTTAAAGAAATATTCTTCATGGAAGATAAAAAGAAAAATTACTATGTCATGACTTTGCGCAAGAAAAAAATATAAAATCTCCCTTTTTCTTTTTCTTATATAGTATCACGACCCTACGTGTGATTTTATTTAGGGGTATGACTACTAACGAAGGATCAATTCTTAAAGACACGGTCAAAGATAATTATGTAATAGCACCATTAGAATTCAAGATCTCTAAATATAAAAGGTAGTATATTTCATTACTAAAATTCTTATTAAATGCCACTAAATATAAAATTCACATTATATTTGTCTCAAATTTATAGAGGAGATATACATCTCATCGTAAATTGTGTCAATAATATATATCAATCCAAATATACAACTTATTGAACAAAAAAGAGAATAGTAAATAAACCAAGCAAACATCCATATAACACCATAAAGAAAAATTATTGTATTTAAAAGCCAATATGCAGCGCTATTTTAGAGTAAGCTACTAAGATAAAAGCATCTCCATTAAACCTCTTTATAAATGTAGCAAAAATTTAAATTACTAATATATACAACCATTATAATATTTGAAAGATGTATGGTCTTAGAAAACTCACTCTAAAATTTATACAATTAAACCGAAGAATAATTTACCAATATACAGACACACTATCGTACATTTAAGGCAACGATAACTACCATTTATAATAGGATTGAACAATTGTTCTATGTTTGCAAAGGCTGCAACAAGAAAGTGGATAAAGATGTTAATAATAAGTGTCCAGATGATAAATATTATAGAATTGCCGATGATATAGTACCAAGGTTAGGTGATATCCCTTCTATATAAAATAAATATATCATTAAATATTAATATTATAATCTAAAGCAAATTGACAATAAAAATATAATGTATTTAGTTCAAATCCTTATGGAAAATGACACAGACAGAGCAAAAGTAAACATTATGACACAGCAGAAATTATTATTGGATGCACAATAGAAAAATTCATTGCAAAGAAAAAGAGGTAGCTCCTAACCTTATTTAAGTAATAAATTAAAAGCACAAAAAATTTATATATATGAAGTTAACATTTATTCTTATTGAAATACGAAAAAATCAAAGTCTGTATTGTCAGAAGTTTGTGTTGAACATAAGGAATATATTCAACTTCTTTGTGAATTTAGATGAGAAGACAAAAGATGAATGAGCACAATGAAAAATAACATGCTTCAGTCTCATATCACAGTCGATGTAGACGATGAAGACACTACTCTAGAATTACCTAGGAAAAAGATAAAGATGAAGAATGATTGATCTCGACTCAATAAAAAATAAAATAGAAACAAGAAAATATAATGCATTGTGAATTGTTATAGAATAGTTTTATTTTTTTAGTAAAATTAGGAATCTTGAGAAGAGATTTTCATAAACTATTTTTAGTACTTTTATATGCATATGTGGATGCTTTTATCATATAAAAGTGTACTAGAGTTAGAATTAATCTTTAGTTTATGATTTTTTTCATTAACTATTTTCTGTCATTTTAGCCCACTTTAAAATCAATCATCTTGACTCGTTGGTTTTATTATTCATCTTCCTTTTATAATATTATTTTTAAGTGTTTTCACTTTCATAACACTACACTTCCTCAGGTCAAGCTCGATTTCATGCCAATCCAAATAAAATTAAAATTTAAATTGGCTTTAGATTATATTTATCTCCTGACAATTCACCTATCAACATAAAAATTTAAGTTGGGTGTATCCATCAAATAAGTAAATAATCAAAGTGTAATTGAGGAATAAATTTTAGTATGAAAACAAACAAAAAATACTTAATCAAAGTGAGCAAAAATTATCAAAGAGTAACTAAGGAACAAATTTTAGTAATAAAATAAATCAAAAATACCTAATCATAATATTTAACCACACGTGCATTGCACGTGCATAAAATCTAGTATTAAAAATAACTAAATTTATATTTAACCATGGGTACAGAGACGAAGTTAAGAAAAAAAATATTTTGAGCATGGAGTCGCAGTACAAGGACCAAGATAGTCATTCGGCCATTTTGCAATAACAAGAATTGGCCAGATTTGGGCCGGATGTTCATAGACACAACCTACATGGGTTACAACAAGGTGCAAAAAATTTGTTCATAGACCCAAATTAATTACGGCCATTCATGGTTACAGCTAGGTGCAAAAAATATGTAGTTCTTTTATACAAATTAATGCGATGTTTTTTCCATTAAAAATGATAATAATGTGATGCTTTTAAACTGTTTTTATGCAAATTTATAATCTTTTGCCTTTTCGATTAGATGATAAGAAACCTATTTCCTCGATCAATTATTGCCATATATCAATTAATTAACTTATTTTAAGTGGAAATCAAGATGGAACAAGTACAATCCAAAAGAACTCTACTTGTCTTGGAAATAAGTGATGTAGAACACACGATAAACACGTTTATATCAAAGTGAGATAGTCGCAAGCCCAAATGCGGGCCTGGTCGAAGAAAATAACTTGTTTCGAAAAAACGATCATAACTTTCAAACCGTACGTCGAAATTGGACGAATTATATATGAAAATCGACTATCTCGACTAGACGGAGCCATCCAAACCTGCCCCTAAGGGTTCGGTTTGCTTCATCCGTTTTACTAAATTCCTTACGGTTTGAGAGATATCTGTATTTTGTCTGTTTTTACTATTTTTAGTAATGCTTTAGGAGTCTGTTTTGATTAGGAAACAAAGCTTATTTGATCTCAGATTTGACCGGTGGACTTTCCTAGTCGTAAGGAGTCTTTTTAGAAGTTTTAATATTTTAGGAATTCTTTTACTGTTTTTGGTAAGTTAGAGTCCTTGTAGGAGTTTGAGTCCTTGTAAAAGTCTTATTTATTTTCTATTTAAGTAGGGTCTTGTAAGCCCTAGAGGCATAACTTTTGATTAATAAAATTTTGTTTTTCTTCAATATTTACTTCATGAATTCGAAGCTCTTCTTGGATTCGAATATTGTCCTTGGTGAATTCTGATGCTACTACTTCCGCACTGCGTCAATAAGTTACAAGTAACCGATTTCACTATTTATATATCCCATGGCTACCATTAACGAATGATCAATATCTCTGAGCTCAATTTCACTGTAAATGACGTGATATGGAAATAATCGTGCTACTTTGCAAGCTCGATAATACACATTTTCATGATGCATATGATATTTAGTGTTGAGTGTCGACTCAAACTCCAAGTTGAATTTGGATTTGAAGGCAAAGTCCAATCCTAGTAGTTTTCTTAGAGGTAATGTTGAATTGGCGAGCAAATATTCATGATTGTTTATTTAACATCCTATTCTAGAGTTTTTTTAAGAAGGACAAATACATATTTTTGTAATCAGAATTTAAGAGAGGTGTAAACGGGTTTAAGGGTGTCGTGAGTGAGAGGACTTTGCAATCTTTATCCATGTAAAAAAAATTATAATTTGGTGGTGATAGTGGACTACGTTCGATCCTACGAATTTTCCGTGTTGAGAAATATCCATGTTAAACCTTTTGCGTGATCATTCTCTTTAGTTTGTTTGGTGGTTTTTGGGTTTTTACGAGTTCTAAAAATCCCAACTATTGGTGCTTAATTCTCATAACCTTCTCAAAAATAAACACGCATTTCAACTCTCAAACACAAAAACAAACCAAAAATCATACCGATTAACCTTGCGAAGAGCACACTGCCCTCAGGTAATTGTAAAGAAACAGTCTACAAACAAAATCAAAACCCTAAACCCTAAAACACAACGACCACCAGGAGACTGCCACCGTCAACCAACAGCCTGCAACCTCAGTTGCTCATAAAACCTCCTAATGAACTCCTCCGCATCCCCATCAATTTCCCTTCCACCCTCCTCCATCATCGGAAAGGGCGAATCGGTAATTCTCACCTCCCTTACCGCCACCGGACTACTCCTCAAATACCTCCACGCCTCAACTGGCGAATCCTCAGCCTCCAGCATCTCCATCGACGTCGAACTCAAGCTGATACCCAAATTACCTCTACGCCTCTTCCTCTTGCTACGGTTAACCATCGGCGTGTTGCTACAGCTGAACTCGACCTCTCTGGGGCTGTAGTAGGCGACGGTGGGGTCCATCGAGCGGCACGAGAGGCATTCTATAAGGTTCTCGCAGTGGGGGATGAGGCGGAGCTGGAGATTGGGGAGGAGGTCGTGCTTGAGGGTGTAGTAGAGCGCGCGTAGGATGCGGGATATTTGTTTGGCTATGGCTTTTTTGTTTTTTCTTGTCTTTGGGGTTTTGGAGGGGAGAGATTGGTATTTAAAGGGAATTTTGCGGTGTTATGTTTGGAAAGTAGGGCTGTTTTAGATATTAATCCCTCAAATCTCCAATAATTCTAAGTAGGCTTTTCTAATGGGTGAATTACACTTAACCCCCAAGAACGCCTAGCATTTTTTGCGTAAACCTTCAATAATTTTTGCAGGATACCCCCAACATCGTTTGGATAAATTATACTAAACTCCCAATAACTTTCAAAATGCATTTTTGTGTTTTATTCTCGTTATGGGGATGCAAAACATGGAAACTTGGCAGGGTTTTCTGTAATTCTAAAAAATTATTAGGGTTTAGTGTGATATTGAAAGTTTTTAGGTGGCCTACTACAAAATGATGAAAAGTTCTTCGGGCTTTAGTGTAATTTACCCTTTTTCAAATCTTTGAAATTGCTTACTAGTGCTCACTTCCTATGCGGTCTTGCAAATTGGTCACACCATTTTGGGTAACTCCTAGCTTAAAACGCCCAATAACTAAATTACCCTTCGGTTAGAGGATTACATGAAGTTTGGTGGGTTTATGACAATTGGGAACTTCATAAATAAGTTAGGGTGGTTTTCTTATAGTTGGAGAAAATAATTTTAGTGGGTCTGGTTTCTTTTTTAGTTGTGTATTTGGTTTAAGATTTAAGCTCATTCAAACACAAGTAGGGGAACATAACAGAGGGGGTAAAATGAGAGCTTCTCCTGAAATCATTAGATCTTTAAGAATATTACTTTCAAAATTAGCGTGTGTTACCCAGAGGTACCAATTTACAATATATAGGATTTGAGAGGCTTGTAAACAGTTTGAGGGGCTAATATGGATTGTATCTTAAAAAATCCGCTTGAAATTATTTGAATTGATTGTGTGAAGAAGTAAAATATGAAAAGGACAAATTAAGAGAAAGCTGATTTGCGAAGAGAAAGAAACGAGTAGTAGTTAAATGTGCCACGTGGAGAGAGAGAGAGAGTAGTAGGAAGTGGGGCGTCCTATAAATTTGGCGTTGGCTTCTAAGCGTTTATATAGTTTGACACATGTTGCTGCGATTAATTAAGCAATTAGCGAGGAACTAATTAACGTGTAGTTGAAGAAAAAATATAATTAAGAAATTAGGACCTTCATGTATATATTTTGTATAAAAGACTTTACACGATAATTGTGTTTACATTGTTTGGCTTATGTATTTCTTCTTTTTCTTGATTAATTAAGCATCAACTTATGCACGTAAATTTTATGAATTTGGACCTCTCAATGACTCAACTACAGAAAAAGTAGTAGAAAGCTAGACCACTAGTTTTTTATACTAAACGTTAATTATTTTATGAGTGATTAAGATGTTGTGCGCAGCGGAAATTTCGACAGAGTTTCTGGTGCACAATAAGAGAGAAAGATCAATAAGAATTCTTATTTCTCAAAGGGAACAAGAATCTGAAGCCTAATATCCCATCAAAGTGGGATATTAGCTCTTCCTCTCGTCAGCTCTAGGACTGCGCGTCGGGTATCCTAAAAACTATTACAATGGCCACAAACTCAAACAAACTAATTTTACGTGGTTCGGCAAACTGCCTACATCCACGGGGCAAGGAGGGGGGATCTACTATTATAGAGAAAAAGAATACAAATGGGTTTACAACTCTCACAATCTAAACCCTCGAATAGGCTCCTTGCTTTTCTTCACAAGAAAAGGTCAGCCTCCAAATATTTTTTCTCTCTTCACAAAACCCGAGACAGTCCCCTCTCTCTCAGCCGACTTTCCTCTCTCTCTGCACCAAGCCCAAGCCAAAAAGAACTGCTCTCGCCCCCTGATCTTGCACCTGCGCAGCCGCCAAAGAAAAAGAAAAAGAAAAAGCCGACTATACTCCCCTCCTTCGCACACAGCCCTAGGTCTGCAAAAGATATATATATAGCTGCGGTTTCATTAAGTCTTCGGGTGGGCCTTTTAACCTCACACTTTAACAACCAGCGTTAACTTCACATGGTGGCCTTCTTTACCCACTGGACTCTTTGTATCCACATCCTTTCACGCGTAAAGGAAAGCAACGTGGCCCCCACTCACAATTCTCCACCTCGGCGAAGTTTTCACAAAACTGAGCCGACACCGACCAAACCAAATGCCTCACTTGTTGCGTCCAGTACGCCATGGCAACAGACTCATGACAACGGACTCCATCCACAACAAGTCGAGACCCAAACGGGAGTGCGAACACTCACCCAAACATCGGTATCTACTCACCAAATCGATCTCACCCCCAACTAAGACAAAACCCTAGATCTGGAACCTGGACTCTGATACCACTTGTTGTGCGCAGCGGAAATTTCGGCAGCACCTCCGGTGCGCAAGGTGCACAACAAGAGATTAGATCACAATAAAATTCTCGTTTCTCAAAGGAAACAAGAACCAAAAGAGCTGATATCTCACTTTGATGAGATATCTAGCTTTTGGTTCTTGTTTCCTTTAAGAAACGAGAATTTTATTGTGATCTAATCTCTTGTTGTGCACCTTGCGCACCGGAGGTGCTGCCGAAATTTCCGCTGCGCACAACATAAGATTCATTCTAAATTTAGCACTCACCACACCTCTATCATGTATTCCACTTATATTTAATTTGTAATTGAAAACAAATTATAACCATTAATTAGGTGATCAATAATTCTGATAATGTAAGGTCCCTCCACCTTTTTTAATAGTCGAGAGAATCTAAATCTAATTTTTATATTTATATCAGCCTCTACAGATAGTGATTTTTCTATACTTCAGATTAGTTCCCCACGAGATCATGGAGCAAAATCTTTACAATTTAGATTGGCCTCGTGACGTAATGATTATACATTTATACTCTCTATTTAGAGTATGTTTGACAACATACTTGTTTTATTTATGAGTATCTTTTTTTATATAAGCTGTCAAAATCATATTCGGTAAGGATTTAATAATTATTATTTTGAACTTATAGGTAGGAAAAAAATAAGTTGGATTGTCCACTGCATTTTTTGGCCACTTATAAGTAGATTTATTTATTTATGTTAAAATACTAGCTATCTTGCCTTCTAACAAAATCAGTAAAAATAAGTAATATGTAACTTATAAGAAATCACAAAATAAGTAGTAGCCAAGCTGGCCCAAGCATGCCCTTACAAGAATGGTGAAATGTATTTCTTAAACATCGTCAAGAGTTATCCTGAGAAAATTAAGAAAGAAGAATAGCATCTTAATCCAATCATACTCTTGCAAACCAAGCAAAATAGCATGTTATTTTGATGTAATTTCCATGTATTATAGAGTCTAGAATCTCAAGATGCAACATAAATTACAGTAATAAGTTTTAAGTTTGTCTCTGTCGTGTGATTTTGTATGATCACGAACTAGCAGTATTTTAATAGTTTGGTTGAGTAATTAATCCTTGAATTTGTGCCTATAATTGTATGTACACTTAGTTATTTTATACGCTAAATCAAGAAATTCTAATTAGTGGGCATAATTAAATAGACACATGAATTTCACGTGTAAGTTTCCATTGGTAGAGGGCATTTGAATTAAAATTATATCATTTTCAGTAATCGACCGTGTCGTATTATTGTGGCTTAATTAATGTGCTAATGTTTATTTCTAAAATATTTTCATGTTCCATTGACCGCAAGGTGAATTGTCATCTGATAATTCTTTATTCTTCTAACACAAAGAATGTATTTATGAGCTGTCCTCTTCTTGCTGGTGAGAGATATTTTTAGTTTTCATGATCAATGAACATCCTCTAATTGAATGCAAAATTCTGAAGAATTTTCTTTATTGGAAGTCAGATTTTAATTAAAGCGTAAAATTATTGTGCCTAATACTCCTTTACCCTTCTGTATGAAAATTGTACACACTAACACTCATATTGCATACGTATATGATACATAGACGTCAACAAATCCTCATTTATATCATACTAAAATGTTTCTTCGTGCATTTTAAGCGCTAATAAGTACTACAACTCGAATCTTTTGTTTTTTTCCTCAAAAAAAAAAAAAATCGAATCTTTTTTAAATCAGTCTGCATATCTTATACATATTAGTTTCCAAATTTTATTTTTAAAGAATGATCACGAATGATGTATCATATAATTTAGTAAAAGAAAAATAAGAATAGATAAGGCAAGCTCCCTATCCCATCATGTTTAATTAGGGTAGAAACTTAAAAGAACTGATTTCATTTTTACCCTATCACACAAGCCAGTATTCTTCAAACAATTAATGGTGTTCTTATAATATAAAAAATTTAATTTTGCAACTCCCTTCTCTTTATGATTGTCCAACATTTCTAACGCCATAGATAAAGACCATACATAATAAAGTCCCATTGATAAAGTCATTCACATAGGTGGACGAATTAGGTGAGGGTATTATCATGTATATTTCATTACGAAACCCATCATTGAGAGGGGGATGTTAAACATAATTAGCTTAGTAATTAAATAATATCTTCATCCCTTGCTTTTATAACTGAGAAGAAACGGCTGCCTCTAGAAGTTCTCCTCGTCATCTTGATTGCCAAGCAAAGCTATCGTTGGTTGTGAACTTGTCACCCTTCTACAATTTGAGTTTGCTTTGTGGGCCCTAATGCACTTTTCACTCCATTTCTTTCGGAGTTCAAGGTATTATGAAGTCTAAAATGTCCACATCAAGAAGCACTTATGCAAGATATATTATTAATGTTGATCATTTCATTTTCCAACGGAAGGACAATTTGGTTGAGCTTCTTGAATTTGCAATATTGGTATATGTCCCTTTTAAGATCTTAATGCAAGGACTCTATGAATAAATCTGACATTCACATGTACTAATAATTGCCAGAAGCTGATTGTCAAAGTTCTTAAGGAGTGCAAAAATTGTATAAGAAACTACGTTAGGGGAACGACAAATTAAATTGGGCTACCAATGTGAAGGTTGGGAAAAATGGATTTCAATACGTTCATAAATTAAATTACGGACAAATTTTGAAAACCATCATATTTACAAAAAAACGTAAATTCCGACCTATTCTAAAAAAATAAGTATCAAAACCGACTTAGTTTCAATCGTCTGGCTTAAACTGGGTCGGTTTTGACAAAATATGTTCCGAAACTTCTCGGGACTTCAAGTCCCGTGAAGTTTTTGTGTGAAGTTTTGTAATGTACAAAAACTTCACAGGAAGTTTCGGAAGATTTTTCCTTTAAAACCAACCCAGATTTAGCCCGATGGTTGAAACTGAGCCGGTTTTCACAAATATTTTGTGAATGGGTCGATTTTTGCAATTATTTTCTCATGGTTTTCAAAATTTGTCCTTAAATTACACTATCAAACAGCACAAAGTCCTTTTCTTTGGCAATTGAGATGCCAGGAACGTTTCGGGAGATTCTTTTAGATGACCTTTCAGGTATCGAAAGTTTTTAGTAAGGGAAAATTTGCAAAATAGACCGTTTTTATAAAGTAATTAGCGAAATAGACCGTTTTTTAAAGTAATTAGCAAAATAGACCGTTTTTTGGCAAAAGAGGTCGATTTTGAAAAAGGGTTCAGAAAACATACGGGACTACTAGTCCCGTATGTTTAAAGTTAGCTAATCTGATGATTAGTCCACTCAGAAAATATACGGGACTACTAGTCCCGTATATTTTCTGTTTTGTTAACTAATCTGATGGTTTTGGATCTCTAGCTGCGTATTCATCTGATAGTTGAATTGTTAGATAAAAAGAAGTATCTTAGGTCTTATTTCTTTGATTATTCCTATTTCAGGACTGTCCAATTGCATTCTCATCAAAGAACTCTACCTAGCCGGCAACAAGATCAGCAACGTCGAAGGCCTCCATCGCCTCCTCAAACTAACAGTCCTTGACCTGAGCTTCAACAAGTTAACAACATCCAAAGCCCTAGGCCAGCTCGTCGCCAACTACAATTCCCTTCTCGCTCTCAACCTCATAGGAAACCCGATCCAGGCCAACATTGGTGATGACCAACTACGAAAGGTCGTCACTAGTCTCTTACCTCACTTGACGTATCTCAACAAACAGCCGATCAAGCCGCAACGAGTGAGGGAAACGGTGAATGATAGTGTTGCTCGAGCTGCATTAGGGAGCGGTAACGGAGGGAGGAGAATGGCTAGGAGAAGAAGCCCGAGCTCAGGGACAGGATCTTTGGTGAGGCGAGCAAGCCAGAGTTTAGCACTCGGGTCCCACGCGAAGGGAAGTAGGAATAGGGCCAAAGGGAGGCTCCAGCACTCGGTTACTTCTTCAAGGAAGTGATAAGTAACTGGAAAAAAGGAAGAACAAATAGAGTAAAATGGTTGCCATCAGTTAAACAAAACAGAAAATATACGGGACTAGTAGTCCCGTATATTTTCTGAGTGGACTAATCATCAGATTAGCTAACTTTAAACATACGGGACTAGTAGTCCCGTATGTTTTCTGAACCCTTTTTCAAAATCGACCTCTTTTGCCAAAAAACGGTCTATTTTGCTAATTACTTTAAAAAACGGTCTATTTCGCTAATTATTTTATAAAAACGGTCTATTTTGCAAATTTTCCCTTTTAGTAAATGAGTTATGTTTGTAATTTAACGAGAATAGCTTTTTTTTTTGAAGAAAAACAAGGGATATACCCTGTCATTTGTATTAATAAAAAAAAGTAGTTACAAAAAAAGGATATTAAGTATATCCAAGAATTGGAAGATAGAAAAGATAGTTTCTCAGGACTAGTGATATATGACTTTCTTCTTTCAAACATCCATGAAGATGAAGAGAGGGCCTTGCCGTCATTCACCGTTGACACAGATATAAGAAAGAACCAAAGCCAGCCATATATATAGTAACAAGAAACTAAACTTTCTATAACCCAATAACCACAAAATCTCAAGAAAACTACAAAAAACTATTCTTATGTACATATGCCAAAAAACTGACATTCACAGTCCCATTACTTATAAGCTGTCATATGCTTCTGATAATCGGGGTTTTTCTCCAGCTTAGCTTTAATTTTCCGTGCTGCAACTCCACTTCTAGACCCTGTCCAGTCATTTAAATAAGATATTGTGAAGTTAATAATAGACTTAACAGAGAACTGAATATGGTCAAAAATGCATTTATTCCTCCAAGTCCATAAACTCCAACAAACAGAGGCAAAAATGCTTCTCCAAAGAAAACCTTCCATTCCTCTCAGAGTTTCAATCCTACTCATAAGCTCCTCCAAAGTATTAGGCCAAGTGAAAGGTAAGAAGTAGCTCCTGAAGTGCTGCCAAACTTTCTTGGATATAGGACAAGAAAGGAACAAGTGTTCTCTGGTTTCCAGGTCAAGCCCACAAAAAGAACAAAGGGAATCTCCATTCCAGCCCTTAAGCTGAAGAATCTCCTTAGTATGCAGTTTATTTAGTGTGAGAAGCCAGGGAAAGATGCGAACTTTAGAGGGGATAATTGCATTCCAAATGACTTTGTATAGAGGATGCTTAATACCTCTCCTTATAAGAAATTTGTAAAAAGACCTGACCGAGAACTGTCTATTAGATGTGAGAGTCCATGTAGGTTGATCACAGATATTAGAAGCATGAAAGTCATTGATGAGATTCAAAAGATCAATTTTCTCTGCTTGAGCACTGATCACAGATATTAGAAGCATGAAAGTCATTGATGAGATTCAAAAGATCAATTTTCTCTGCTTGAGCACTAGGAAGAATGCTTCTTCTCATCAATAAGATTGATGAGATTCAAAAGATCAATTTTCTCTGCTTGAGCACTAGGAAGAATGCTTCTTCTCATCAATAAGTGCCACTGCCACTCATTATCAATATAAAAACCTTGGCTTCTAATAGTTGCATTAGAAGAAAAGGCTAACTTGTAAGATTCAGGGAAAATACTAGCTAAGTTATTGAAACCAATCCACTTATCTTCCAAGAATCTTATGCTCTCTCCAGAACCAATCAACCATTTTATGTTATGAAAAAAAGCATCCTTCTTGGATAAAACGTCATTCCAGAATGATGAATTAGATGACTTGAAGAGTGTGGCCTGCAAATTTGTACCTCTGTGAACATAAAGATGGTGAAGAAAATTGCCAGATGTTGAATTTCTATCCAAACACTTCCATAGCCATTTGGATAAAAGTGAAGAATTGAACAAAGAAATATCCTTAACTCCCAGGCCTCCCTCATCTTTATTTAAACAGACTTTTTTCCAGTTAACTAGGCATTTGAAAGAATTAGTGTCTGTCTTTCCTGTCCATAAGAAATGCTTCCTGACTTTATCAATGTCTTTAACAAGCCATTTAGGTAGCTTATAAAAAGACATGTAGTATAAAGGAACTGAAGTAAGGACTGAATTTAACAGGACCAATCTCCCTCCATAAGATAAAGTATTCTTCTTCCAAGATGCTAGTTTCCTATAGAGGTTATCTAGCAAAGGTTGCCAATCTGATTTTGATAGTTTGCCATATTTGAGAGGTAATCCAAGATATTTGATAGGAAGTTGATCAACTTTACAGTCCAGAGAAGATGCTAGAGCATGAGCCTTGCGATGGATATTGCCAAAATACATAAGAGAAGATTTTGAGTAATTGATGCTCAAACCAGATACGTCCTCAAAAATGTAGATAATAGTTTTAATAATGGAGATATCATGTAAGGAGCTTTTGACAAAAAGCAGTGTATCATTAGCAAATTGAAGTATCCTCAAAAGATTGAGAGGGAGCTTAAGTCCAAGAGATGACAAAAGACCCTCCTCAGCATTGTTCATAATCATTTTGTTCAAAACATCTACAGCAATATTGAATAACATTGGAGATAAAGGGTCACCTTGCTTAATACCTCGTTTACAAGGAAAAAACTTTGTGGGAGAACCATTAACAAGAATAGCACAAGAAGAGGATGAAATAATTTGAAGAATCCATGAACACCATCTATTACCAAAGCCCCTAGCTCGCAACAGATCAATGAGAAAAGCCCAGTCTATAGAATCAAAAGCTTTAGCAAAATCAATCTTAAACATAGCAACTTCCTTCTTTTTTTTTGAACAAGCATGAATCATTTCATTAGCTTGTAGAATAGAATCAAGAGTAGATTTTCCAGCTTGGAAAGCAGATTGTGTAGAAGCTACCAGAGATGACATGTGATGAGACAACCTATTTGCCAAAATCTTAGAGAAATTTTTAAAAAGGCAATTGATAAGGCTAATAGGTCTGAAACCAGTCACCTTAGAACAATCCTTGATTTTGGGGACCAAAGTGATAAAGACTTTGTTGACTCTATGAATATGGGATGGGTTGCCATGAAAAAAATGCATAAGAGCAATAAGATCTGTCTTAATCAAAT